AAGTGCAGTATGTAGTAATGTTAAGCTGAGGGAGTAAGTGCAGTATGTAGCAATGTTAAGCTGAGGGAGTAAGTGCAGTATGTAGTAATGTTAAACTGAGGGAGTAAGTAGAGTATGTAGTAATGTTAAGCTGAAGGTAAGTGCAGTATGTAGTAATGTTAAACTGAGGGAGTAAGTAGAGTATGTAGCAATGTTAAGATGAGGGAGTAAGTAGAGTATGTAGTAATGTTAAACTGAGGGAGTAAGTAGAGTATGTAGTAATGTTAAGCTGAGGGAGTAAGTAGAGTATGTAGTAATGTTAAGCTGAGGGAGTAAGTAGAGTATGTAGTAATGTTAAGCTGAGGGAGTAAGTGCAGTATGTAGTAATGTTAAACTGAGGGAGTAAGTAGAGTATGTAGTAATGTTAAGCTGAGGGTAAGTGCAGTATGTAGTAATGTTAAACTGAGGGAGTAAGTGCAGTATGTAGTAATGTTAAGCTGAGGGAGTAAGTGCAGTATGTAGTAATGTTAAGCTGAGGGTAAGTGCAGTATGTAGTAATGTTAAGCTGAGGGAGTAAGTGCAGTATGTAGTAATGTTAAGCTGAGGGAGTAAGTGCAGTATGTAGTAATGTTAAACTGAGGGAGTAAGTGCAGTATGTAGTAATGTTAAGATGAGGGAGTAAGTGCAGTATGTAGTAATGTTAAACTGAGGGAGTAAGTAGAGTATGTAGTAATGTTAAGCTGAGGGTAAGTGCAGTATGTAGTAATGTTAAGCTGAGGGAGCAAGTAGAGTATGTAGTAATGTTAAGCTGAGGGAGTAAGTGCAGTATGTAGTAATGTTAAACTGAGGGAGTAAGTAGAGTATGTAGTAATGTTAAGCTGAGGGAGTAAGTGCAGTATGTAGTAATGTTAAACTGAGGGAGTAAGTAGAGTATGTAGTAATGTTAAGCTGAGGGAGTAAGTAGAGTATGTAGTAATGTTAAGCTGAGGGAGTAAGTAGAGTATGTAGTAATGTTAAGCTGAGGGTAAGTGCAGTATGTAGTAATGTTAAGCTGAGGGTAAGTGCAGTATGTAGTAATGTTAAGCTGAGGGAGTAAGTAGAGTATGTAGTAATGTTAAGCTGAGGGAGTAAGTAGAGTATGTAGTAATGTTAAGCTGAGGGTAAGTGCAGTATGTAGTAATGTTAAGCTGAGGGTAAGTGCAGTATGTAGTAATGTTAAGCTGAGGGAGTAAGTGCAGTATGTAGTAATGTTAAGCTGAGGGAGTAAGTAGAGTATGTAGTAATGTTAAGCTGAGGGAGTAAGTGCAGTATGTAGTAATGTTAAGCTGAGGGAGTAAGTAGAGTATGTAGTAATGTTAAGCTGAGGGTAAGTGCAGTATGTAGTAATGTTAAGCTGAGGGTAAGTGCAGTATGTAGTAATGTTAAGCTGAGGGTAAGTGCAGTATGTAGTAATGTTAAGCTGAGGGTAAGTTAAGCTGAGGGTAAGTGCAGTATGTAGTAATGTTAAGCTGAGGGTAAGTGCAGTATGTAGTAATGTTAAACTGAGGGAGTAAGTAGAGTATGTAGTAATGTTAAGCTGAGGGTAAGTGCAGTATGTAGTAATGTTAAGCTGAGGGAGTAAGTAGAGTATGTAGTAATGTTAAGCTGAGGGAGTAAGTAGAGTATGTAGTAATGTTAAGCTGAGGGTAAGTGCAGTATGTAGTAATGTTAAGCTGAGGGTAAGTGCAGTATGTAGTAATGTTAAGCTGAGGGTAAGTGCAGTATGTAGTAATGTTAAGCTGAAGGTAAGTGCAGTATGTAGTAATGTTAAACTGAGGGAGTAAGTAGAGTATGTAGTAATGTTAAGCTGAGGGAGTAAGTGCAGTATGTAGTAATGTTAAGCTGAGGGAGTAAGTGCAGTATGTAGTAATGTTAAGCTGAGGGAGTAAGTGCAGTATGTAGTAATGTTAAACTGAGGGAGTAAGTAGAGTATGTAGTAATGTTAAGCTGAGGGAGTAAGTAGAGTATATAGTAATATTAAGTTGTGTCTGTACTAAATGACTGTCAAAAACACAAAAAAATGTTTGAAACACTGAGTTACTATGCTGTGCGAATGATATGTGCATGCTTGTTAGGACCGCTTGGTGGGTAGGATAAATGATTAGAGCGCTGACTCTCTTCAGTTCTATGCTTTTTGCTTTGCCTGCAGGTGACACAGCAGAGCACGGCTGGGTTTGCTGTTCTGATGTCTCTGTATTGATATCTCACTCCTTCCTTTCACTAACTTTCAGCACTGTGCAGATCAGCACTGTGAGCTACGCCCTCATCAACATTGCTCAGTAAAACGAGCCCATATCGAGCCAAACATTTGTCGCAGTTCGTCGATAAAGAGCTTATATTACAATCAAAAATAAAAATTTCAAGCAAGCTTGAAAGGATGGCAGAAAATTTCAAATTTTCAAATTCAGTTTTTCACCTTTGTATAATTTGGGACCCATTGATTATCTAAAATTGCTAGTATTTGCTACAAATAGGTCATGAT